CACACACACACACACACACACACACACACACACACACACACACACACACACACACGATTAAAATTATACTGCATCGTTTAAAAGTACACATACACAATTGAAATGAGCAAATTCTGTTTTATGCTTCATCTCCTGTTATCTTTGGGCCAGAAATGTTGATGTTAATGCAGTACATCTCTTCAATCTGTCATGAATTTACTAAATTCTACAACAAGCTGCTTCTGCTGCAGTGTTGTTTTGCTTATTAGCCAGCTAGCTGGCAAGCAAGGGGGAATATTGAGTCAGTCCACAAGAGATGTTAAGCATAAATCAGTTAAACTGTTTTAAAACTTGAAGTAAGTCCTCAGAAAAGTTTCCAGAACCCCTGCTCCAATAAATCTGAATCTGTAGTTGTTTAGTATTAAGGATAATGATTTAACAACAGAAACCTCAAAAGGGAGCTCAGCACAGCTCAAGAGTTTAAATAAAAACAGTAACACAAGCTTAAGTCGTAGACTTTTGCCACCTAGTGGCAGCATAGCATTCATTTGGAGTTGTGCTTCAGACAAACTGATGAACATCAAATAAAAACACTCCTCTCAGAAATGATTTGTATTAAGCTAATTCTCAAAATGCCCCAACCTGTTTCTAAAAACAGCAATGATCCACTCACAGGACAAACCAAAGAGATGCAGTTGTTCCTCTGCAGGGGTGCTGACATCCGTCGAGCGAATGGCCTTGCCATCGGACATGAGGAAATCATCAGAGGGGTTGGCGCTCCAGAGGCCCATGAGACCCACGGTGCGGTTGAAGAAGGTCTCAGGAACCTCCACTAAGGCGCACAGCTGATTGCTACCCCCACTTCGCCACACCACCACGTGGAGGCCGTTGGCATACACAGCCGCGCAGCGTTGCAGTTCGGTACAGCGCACTGCAAAGTTATTCTTACTGGCATGTACAAGACCTGAATGGACAGCAAACATATATGCATCATATAGTTACGACTGTAATGTGTTGTTTATAATAGGTTTCAAATCTGTAATACTTCATACACGTGCCTGATTTACTGTTATATAATTGTTACATACTTTTTAAAAGGGATCTATTATTACTGCTTTTCCTCCTTTTTAGTCATGTATACACTGTTACAGTGATGGATGATTGTATTAAATGTGTTGAAAATTTAAAATAATGAGGTAATAACAAGGAAATCTCTCTGAGCCAACTGGTTCACTTTGCTCATCTCAGGCACACGGCTCAGGCTGTGATCACAGACTCCTCACCCACCAGCGGCATGCAAAGCTTCTCTAGTACACTTAAAGAATAAAAATATACACTTGAGATGTGTGTGGTGATTATTACCAACGGTGACTGGGACTTCAACGTCATCCACCAAAACTCGCAGTCTGCTGTCCTTCTCTGAACTCCTCCATTCAATCTGAAAATTTCAAATGCTTATCTGGAGCTTGGTTCATCCATGGAATATCAACAGTATCATCTAATATCTATTTAAGCCTGCATGCATCTTGCAACGAAAGAAGCATAGGAAAAATATGGAATTAAGATTTCAGATAAATTCATTACTGCCTAAAGATTTTGACACTGAACCTCATGTACCTGCCACAACAGAGATGATCGCACATGTTCAGTCAAATTGATATAGATCTATGTGCAGCAGATTTCTACTCTTTTATGGAAAATAAAGAAAGTGTGATCATCTGTTTACTTCCCGAAAGTTATGTGCATTTTATAATGAAGTGGAGATGATAAGTTTAGCTTAGAAAATCTCACTTAAGCTAAAAATCCATCTCCTGAGTTAACTCCCAGAAGTGAATATGTATGCTTTCCCAACTGGAACTATTCCTTTAGCGCTCACAGACTTTCTCGCTCTTATCCTGACCTTGCCAATGCCTTGGTAGAAGGCAGCCATGCGCACCACCGCTGGGACTTCAGTGATCCTGTTCGCGTCTGGGTGTAGCCTGTCAATCTGTCCTTGCAGGGTGAAGATATTAGAGCCGGTGGCAGATGAGAGACGCAATATCACAAACTCTCCCAGGGCCTTGAAGGAGTACGTTCTCCCATCGAAGGTGATGAAATGGAGGCTGCCATACACCATTGCTGCACGGGAGGAGGGGGGGAATTAAAAAGTTTTTCACATCTTACTGTGATCTTACTAAAAGCTGAGCCTGTGACCCAGCTTTTAGATTTTTTTATGTTAGATTGCAATAATGTTAAGTTTTTGTGTTATTATTTAGTCAGGGTTTAGTTGAGTTTTATTCTAGTTTTTATTTCATCCATGTGTTTATGAGTCTTTTCCAGTCTTCTGTCTGTCCTGCCCATATGGAAAAGAAATAGAAAAAAAGACTTACTTCATATAGTGAATCATATCAGGCTTATATGATTTACTCATGAAAGTGGCCACTTTCTCATTACTTTCATATACTGTTTTAGTAAGTATCCAAAACAAACAAGTTTCATTTATATAATTTTTCAAGGGATCTTATATCTGTTTTCACTCTTGTATGCTTTTCATACAAGTTTCACGCAAGAAACTTTATAAGATTTATGTATATCTTTTCCATATGGGCGTCCTCTATGTTTAACGTGTAGTTATGCCGTGCTTTTGTCTTCCTTATCTGTTCCCGTATGTCTCTCTTTTTGTTCTGTTTCCCCAGTGAGTCATGTGTTTGTGTTTCCATGTTTACTGTCAAGCTTGTGTTGTCATGTCTACATTCCATTATATTTCTCTTTTATTTTGAAAGTCCTAGGTTTTACTAGTTTGGGTTTTAGTTTCAGTTTTCGCCACTGTTCATTTTTTGCCTTTTGTATTCATGTTTTTGGGCAAAATAAACGACTCGCCTTTTGTTAACGGTCATCCACTTGGGTCCACATCAAAAACACACCGGCTTCTCAGCCGTGACACTTACTTATACAGACAGATTGATATGTATTAGTTTTTCTTAAAAAGGAGCAGCCGCTCACCTATACCCTGTGTCACCTTCTTGGATTGGGTGAAGCCGTCAGGTCTAGTCCAGCTGTAACCTTGACAGCGGTCCAGCGGCCTCTTGTCGAGGTAAAAGTGGCAAAGTGGAGACTCCATACAACACCACTGAAAGGGCAGGAGATCGTCATCTGAAGAGAGAAGTTTAATAACATAACATAGTCGTGTTATTTCATCAAGCGGCCGTGACAAGTTTGTACATTACACTAATATGTTAGTTAGTAGTTATAGTTTTGTGGCTGATTTGACAAAAGAAAATGCCTGTATTACCAATATGTTTCTGTATGCTGTATCCAGAGAAGTAGCGCTCATTGTATCCAGCTAGCAGGGCACCATCAGGTTCATACACACACCTCTTCCCTGAGCCATATATATTGGACAGGACTGAGCGGAAGGTCTGCCCCTGTGCACTCCCCCACCGCTGACCCCTCAGCTTCACCACAGTTGGACTAGGCACAGATGTATCCTGCATAAATAACAGATCCTCCAGAACCTGGTTCCGTGTGCAGGGACAGGCAGGCAGCCCTTTTGTCCACTCATCAGGATCAGGCTCCATCACTGCCCACTCCTGGCACCTGAAGCCGGGATCTACGTCTGACCCCGTCAGTCCTGTCAAATCATAGACCAGCTGGCCTAAGTTCCCCATGGTTCCTTTCACTTGCTGAGGCCTGTATCTTCCCCCAGGGCCAAAGAGGTTTTCAGCAGGGACTGGGATTTCCTTGATAGACAGCTTTCCATTTGTGTAGCCGATAAGAGCATCGTGGTATTTTCTCTGACCTGGGCCCCATTTCATCTCCCCGTATCGCAGGAGGGCAAAGGAACGCGCTCCGTCTGTGGTCAGGATACACTGGAAAGTGTTGCTCTAAAAATAACAAACATTAACTTTAACTAACTCAACATGTTGCAACAAAAAGTAAATTTAATGAATTCAATCACTTATTCAAAGTGGCTAATAAATGTGTGCTTTTGTTTTGATGTACTTTGCTTCTAGTATTGTCAGTACAAAAGAGCAACAAGAGCTTAGATACAGTGTAAAAGTGATCTGATGAAGACTGGTGGCAGCAGATATCACTGCACTCTGCATTCAAGTCCTTCAGGGCAACACAGCCCCAAGGTGGCACCAGAGCTAAATAAAACAGCATGTTCCACGACTCAGGACTGAATGCCTTTCTTTCAGCTTACTGTTCAAAAGGCTCACGTTGCATAAAAGAATAACGCGTAAATAAGGTCAATCTGACAAGTAACCAGTTGCACTCCCTGCTCAATCAAACCTTTTACTGGAACTGGTACATAAGAGCTTTCAGGAACAGGTAGAGCCTGAATCAGAGGTTCAGATTATAAACTGGTCATTAACTTTTCCAGTAAACACTATGAATGTGAACATATTTAGCCCAGTATTATAGTAAAAAAACACACGCACACAAAAGCACGTTACTGCATTGTTGTGAGACGGAGTTTGGTAGTTTTGAAAATAGTATAATAAAGCAAAACTTTTACAAACATCATTAACATCAAAACCCACTTTTGCTCTTTTTATCTTGCTTTCTTATGAAACTACTGATTATGACCATATGCAATGTTTGTGTGACATGTCCATACAAAATAAGAATGCAAGTGTTGGCTGACACTCACCTCTGAGAAGCTGACCTTCTGGAAGGAGACAGGCATCACATCGTCCCAGGTGATTTTGAGGATCCAGGCAGGGGTAAAAGCTGGCTTGTTTTTCAGGTGCTCAAATTTTGTTACTTCCTCAGCAGTACGATTAACCACTACCTGGGAGTAGACATCTGACCCATTCCGTGTGTGGTATTCCTAACATTTAACAAGAAAGGGAGTATTAAAACAAAGCAAGTACACCGTGGTGAGTTTGCTCTGTAAGCTGTATCTCTTTAAAAGAAAACTAGGTTGTTCTTTGTCTCGGTTTTACTTTATTGTTTCAACCAAACAAAATCATGTAAAATGAACTTCAAAAGTCATTTTGATCCCAGCTCAACAATGACATCTGATGGCATTGAACCTGATAGAGGAGCCGTCCATTCCCTTGAGTGAGGTCTGCATCATCCCAGAACACAGCTAACAAAGTCAAGTTCATGTGGTCAGGGAAACCACTGGCGAAAGGAGACGGGAGGAGATACTGCTCATTCTCAACAACAGATTGAAACTGGACAAGCCCATTATCAGAAAACTAAGAAAACAAAAGGAGAGACAATATCAGACACACATTAAAATACCAATCTTCTCCTATGAAACTCGATATTTACGGCTAATTTTACTGCTCTCCTCACTATATTTACTTCATTATAAAGAGCTGAGTACAAGAACTCCCACTGCTGTAAACCTTTAAGTAAAATCTACATTATTTGCATATTTTGTGGCTAATACCCTGCTGCAATTAGTACATTGCATGTACAGTATGCGTAATTCAACAAATGTATAAGTAAGAAAATGTCATTCTCATTTCTGAAATGTGTTGTTTCTATTATATTACTGCATTTGCATCACGATTTACTCATTAGTTGCTGCTACTTTGAAGGAACGTTCTACAACATTATAATAAATTGGGCACCTTTGTTCCAGTATTTATAGATAATCGTAGTAAGAACTCACATAAATTCTGTCGTACAATTTCCCCATGAAGGGGAAGCCCATTGGTGGTGTGATATATGGAGAATTTCCATCTTCTGTGTCTATGTTTACTTCATTATCCCCGACATCATCTCCATAGGGAAACAGATTTCCCTCTGTGGGGGGAATAACAGAAAATTAATAAGTTAAATATTAATGTGAACATATTAAAGTCATCAACTATCCAAATCAGTTTGCTGTGAACATGCACAATTATTGTTTGGATTGTTTATGTGTCATTAAAAGTAATCCGACTGAGCTTTGCTGCTACCCTAACATGCTGTGAGCTAGACTATTGTCCTTTTTGCTAATACAACATGCTGAAAACTTTCTTAAAGCATGCTCAATCATCCAGAAAAGACAGAAAGGTACATAAAGTTGATTCTTTTAATCTGAAGGTAGTGTTTGTCACTGATCCAAGTCTCCACTGAGGACTGAAGGAGTCCCTTGGATGAGTGACAAAGTGTTTCTCCCACTGAAAACACTACGTTTAGCTAGCAGCCTAATCTACATTGTGCTAGATAAACATATTTATCCACCTCAGTGGTAATATAAGGAAGCACTTTGAATCCACAACCATCGACTGAAAACGTGTAAATAAAGTTAAGGTTTTCTTATTTCTTTGTTTTTTGTTTTCGTTTTGTTTTCTCATTTTGCAGGAATGTTAGCTTAATCAGTAAGGCAACGCAGGTATACTAACAAACGCCTTTTTAATTACACGATATATTTTAATGAAGTTACATGAATTAATTTCAAGGCTTAGCATTATTTGCAGGCTGTTTTTGAAGTGATTGTGACAGCTTCAAATAGAATTTCCAAATTTAGCTTGCCAGCAGGTCTAATAGATGCTTGTAGCACAGTGAAAACCTTTTGTTTGGATAATGCATAATTTGACCAAAAGAAAGTTTTGAGAACGTAAAATAAGAAAATATTCACATTTCAAACACAAACGTCAGTGTATAATTATTAAGGTGATTAACTAAGACATAGCCAACCCGTCATAGTTATCCTTCTGCATAATGTGCTGTTTCTCAGACAGGAGCAGGTATGAGACCCTGGTAGGTTAATACAGGACGATTCCCCACGACATGGATGGAGTGACGCACACTCGTTCAAGTCTGCACATCCTTCTTTTCCATGACCGTTGTCATTGGTGGGCTTCCAGCCCTGATTGCACGAGCATTTAAAACCTCCTACATTGTTGATACATGTGGCAGCAGAGTGACAATTCCCATTCATGGCATTGCATTCATTAATATCCACACACAATGGCCCCAAACTCATAAACCCTGGCATACATATACAAACAAATGAGCCTGGGGTGTTGTGACAGTGAGCAAGAGGGTGGCATGGTTTACTCAAGGCAGCGCATTCATCCACATCTCTGCACCAGGAGCCGTTTCCATTGAAACCTGTTGGGCAGTGGCATGAAAAGGATCCGGGTGTGTTCAAGCAATGTGCCACTGGGTGACAAGGTGAATCCTTGCATTCATCGGTGTCAACACATGCCAGCTTCTCTTCATGATATCCCAATGGGCAAGAGCAGCTGTACGATCCAGGCAGGTTTTTGCAAACTTGGTCAAAGCGGCAGGCGTTGGTGTCTTTGCATTCATTTATATCCTCACAGCCTGAGCTAATGGTTTTGTACCCCAGAGAGCACCGACAGAGGAAGGACCCTATGGTGTTGTTACAAAATGAGTGCTCTGGACACTGGCTGTTTTCTGGTTCCTGACACTCATCCACGTCCTGGCACTCAGTACCATTCAGTTTGAACCCTTCATTACAGGGGCAGTCGTAAGACCCGTGGATGTTGACGCATGTGGAATGGGGCTGGCACACTGAAGAGTTTGAGCACTCATCCACATCTACACATCCCGTATTGTTACTCCAGAATCCTTTGACACATTCACAGAAATATGAGCCAAAAGCATTGACACATGTTCCATTGGTGCAAAGCTCCCCTAGTTCTTTGTTACTACATTCATCAATGTCCACGCACAAGTTATCAACGCTGGAAAATCCTCTGTCACAAGGACACAGGTAACTACCATTGGTGTTGATACACCTGCTATGTTCCGGACAGGTAATGTTATCTAGGCATTCATTGATCTCCTCGCAGACAGTGCTATTTCCTCGATAACCTTCCCAGCATTTACAAAAAGAAGATCCAATTGTGTTTAAGCAGTTGGAAAATTTAGGACACAGAGTAAGGCCAAGTGAGCACTCGTCTATGTCCACACACAGAGTGCCATTCCTTGTAAAACCAGGGTCACAGGTACATTTGTAGCTCCCTTCTAGATTAGTACAGGTACTGTTGTCAGGGCAAGGGAAGTCACCCATCGCACATTCATCTATATCCAGACAGTGCGTCCCGTTGTCTTGAAAACCACTCCAACATGTGCAGATGAAGGAACCATTTGTGTTGAAACAGTTGGAGAAGGCAGGACAGATTTGATGCTGTAGTTTGCCACATTCATCCACATCCCAGCAGTCAGTTCCTGTTCCTTCATAACCATCTGCACACTGACAGTAGAAGGAACCCTCATGTGGAAGGCACTTGGCGAGTGGGTGGCAGTTGGCACTAGCGTTCAGGCAGGTTGTTTCATTCACGCATGTGCCCTTGTTGTACTCCCGTCCCAAGATACATGAACAGGTGTACGATCCGGGAATGTTGCTACACGTCATGTTCTTGCTACAGGCTGTGACCAGCTGACATTCATCCACATCATCACACACAAAGCCACCACCCTGGTATCCATGCTTGCACTGGCAGCGGTAGGATCCGTTGGTGTTGAGGCATAAAGCTAAGGCGCTGCAGTTGTGGGGCAGGGTACTATTCTCCTGGCATTCGTTCACATCCTGACAGTCAAAGCCATTTCCCTCCATGCCAAGTGGGCAGACACAGGAGAATGATCCAGGTGTGTTAGTGCAGCTGGCAGCTGGGTGGCATCCTTCGTTTTGGCCTTGGCACTCATCGAAGTCTATAATTTATCCAAAATGGGACAGTGTCAGCGAAACAGCTCCGAATGGCGCTAAAAAAAAAGCTCAAAGAAAGCCCACTGATTGGTGCAAAAGAACCAATTTTTCCAATTGAAGGTTAAATGAGGATTTATTACTTACCAGAGCAGTTTTTTCCATCACCCGTAAAACCGCTGAGACAGAAACAGGAATGGCTGCCCACTGTGTTGACACACTTAGCAAATTCACTGCAATCCTGTTGACCTGTCTCACATTCGTTCACATCTACAAAGGTAACAGGAAATGAGGTGTAAGGTAGGGTAGAAAAAAAAGGAAAATAATATAGATTAAAAACATGTTATATGCAAACTTTAATCTAGAAGTGAGATAAAATACATATAAGTTTAACCTCCTAAGACACAAACTCTTCCATGGCATGCATTTTTAATTTCTCTTTGCTATTTGGGCTGATTGGGACCTGACGAATGTAAAAACAAAGAATTATGTGATTTTTTTTTAACCTGATTTTTGTTTCTGAGAAAAATTAGATCCACATATAAGGATGTTCGCTTTAAATTCAGATAGAAGAGTGGCGATATAAAGTCCTTGTAAGTGTATATCAGGCCCTTATAGAGCAAAATTTTGTATTTTAGTCTAGACAACCCAAAATGTGATGTCCACATTGGACGCCAGGTCCTAGGAGGTTAAAACAAATATTAGGAAATGAATACTATAAATGAAGTAACTCATTATTCTGGATCCAGGAAGAGCGGGTGGTTTGTTAATCAGTATTAAGCCTGGTTTCTTAAACAGTTTGAATAAAAAGCCCAATCAAACCGTATATGAGAGATACGCATTTATATTATTGAGAATTTTGTTTTGTTAACTTTATAATAAAGTGTTAAACATGCCTTGACAGAGTAATTGTGAGACATATGAAAAGTTTGTTTTACCGACACACTGAGTTCCATTGAGAGTGTAGCCCTGTTTGCAGGTGCAGGAAAATGATCCTGGGATATTTTTACACTCCATTTCCTTTTGAGGACAAACATTTTCCCTCTGGCACTCGTCTATGTCGGAGCAAGTCAGTCCATTGCCCGTGTAGCCCAGGTCACAAACGCACTGGTATCCAGTTGGTGAACGGTGGCACAGGCCGCGACTGTGGCACGCAGGGTCACACAGAGGGCTGGGTGGCACACAAGTGTTATTAAAGGCCACTGTACCATTCAAACATGAGCAGACGTGAGAACCGGCCGAGTTGATACATGTTGAGAAAGCGGGGCAGGTTGTATTAGAGATGGAGCATTCGTCCACGTCCTGACAGAAGAAGCCATCGCCCCTGAAACCCTCCTGACAAGTGCATAAGAAGTTCCCTATTAGGTTAGTGCAGTTTGCTCGTGCGTGGCATATATCCTTCTGAGAACACTCGTCTGCATCCACGCACTGAGTGCCGTTTCCTACAAAGCCACTCTTGCAGGTGCAGGTGTAGGAGCCTTGCGTGTTGATACACGTGGCATGGACATGACATGGGTTGTCTTTACACTCATCAATATCGATGCAATTCATGTTGCTACCAGGGCGGTAGTACCCAACCCGGCATGGGCACTGGTACGCCCCGTCGGTGTTATTGCACTCTTCATTCACGCCACAGGGATTCTTCAATTCCTTGCACTCATTTATATCCTGGCAAAGGGTACGGTTAATCAAGACGTAGCCAGGCTGACACAGGCATGAAAAGGATCCCTGATTGTTGACACACGTAGCTTTGTTTCTGCAACCTCCGTTATCCACCAAACACTCATTTATATCCCTGCATTGCTGTATCCCATCTCCAGAATAACCCACCTGACAAGTACAGTTGTAGGAGCCTGGAAGGTTAATGCACAGAGCACTGGCGTGGCACTGCTTAGCCTGCGAGCATTCATCCACATCCTCACAGGTAAAACCGTTCCCCCTGTATCCCTCCAAGCACTGACAAGAGAAGGACCCAGGTGAATTCGTGCAGGTTGCGTAGGGGCTGCAGCGGCCGGGCACGCACTCATCCACGTCAGTGCACTGGGAGTTATTAAAGAAAAAGCCGCGGCCACAGTCACAGTAGTACGAGCCACCAGTGTTCACACAGGTAGTGGTAGAAGGACAGATGTTAGTTCTTTCACACTCATTTATGTCGTTACACTGTCTTCCGTTTCCAAGAAAACCAACTGGACAAGAGCACTCATAACTGCCCATCCTGTTGATGCACACCGCCCTGGGGTCACATGCATTGTTTCCATTGCATTCGTTTATGTCTACGCATGTCAGCCCATTCCCAGCAAAGCCACTTTTGCAAGTACACGTGTATGACCCTAAGCTGTTTTCACAATCTGCAAAACGGCTGCAGGTGCTAGCGGCACATTCATCGATGTCCACACAATTCCTTCCAATATTTTCAAAGCCAGGGCTGCATACGCAACTGTAGGATCCAGGCAGGTTTCTACAACCTCTGTAGCCATGTCCAGAAGGACACACGTTTGGAGTCTCTGAGCATTCATCTACATCCAGACATAGGTACTTTCCATTGCCCTTATAACCAGGATTACAGGCACAGACGTGAGACCCTGGGGTGTTGGTGCAGGTGGCGTTCCAATGGCAAATATTCGGTGTTGTGCATTCATTAATATCAGTACACTGAAAGCCGTTACCACTAAAGCCACTTTTACACTGGCATTTTCGTCCTCCCTCAAAGTTAGTACAAAGGGCATATTCATGGCAACCCCCGTTGTCTCTTTGACACTCATCTACGTCCTCGCAGGTTGTACCATCTCCAGAGTATCCACTGCGGCAGACACAGTTATAGCTGCCTATGGTATTGGTGCAGTCTGCCTGTTTGTGGCAGTTGTTCAGGCCACTGCCACATTCGTCGATGTCGCTGCACGTCAGACCATCGCCCTGGTAGCCCATTCTACACGCACAGGTAAAGGTGTTACTGATCCTTATACAGTCAGCGTTGGGGTTACATTTGCTGCCTGCTTCCTCACAGTACCTCAGATCAACTGAAAAGACATAAAGACAAGAAATGAGCTTGAAAGAAGATGCACCTGATCATGTGTCACCTGAAAGTATTATGCAGAAGTCTGACACCTGCACCGCAGTAATCCAGCACTGCAAATAGACTGAACAGCCACAGAAGTGAAAACCTGTGAAGGCAAAGAAAAGAAAATTATGGGAACTGCCCATAACTATTTAAAGTAGCATATGCAACAATATACTTTTTCTAGAAACATTCTGTACTCTTCTTGGACAATGGATAAATAAGAAGAGTTCATACAAAGGTATACAAAGGTAAGGAGAGAGGAATTTCATCCAACTTAGACATTTTATAGCTCTCTAAGTACAGATAAACACCCATGTTATACCCAAGTGGCCTCAGTTTCTACCTTATGTAGAGTGAGCTGAAATGTCATCCAGGTTTGTTTGTCAAGCTTTGGTGTGTAACTAGGCTTTTGTAACCAGAGAGCATGTGTTACCTTTTTTACTCTACTTACAGGCCTACTTTCATCACTCATCATCATTGTTACGGTCGATTTAACACAAATAAACCTATGGGGTTATCTTGACTCACCATCTAAGTAGGACTGTCGTTTGCAATAAGAAAAAACATGTTTTTGTTGAGTTCCTAAAAATATACTATGGCTACATCATACCATGAAATTAGATCTCCTATAGTTAATGCATTCACTTAAAAAAAGAAGTGTCAAAGTAATCGTAACACTTCCTAAGACATAGCATGCCTAAATATTCCAACCTGGTTTTACCATAAATGAAGACATTGAGTTTTATATTTAAAGCAAATATTTCATTTCACCCAAAAATAAACGCCCCAAACCTGATTAAAGGTCTTTGTGTGATTAATTTGTCTTTTGTCTCACAATGAGAAATCGATTTTGTGGACTTGTAAGATCTGGCAGTTATTTGGCTTCTGAAAAAATGTCATGTGCTGCACAAACTGGCTGATGGTATTAAAGATCAAAAAGCAAAAATCATTTCTGTTGATGACGTTATAATTTTCAGCACTATGATGACAAAATTTTCAAACCCTAACCCATATTTTCTACTTCCTTTGCATGATTAAAGGTTAAAAGTAATTACAGCTGACAGCTATAGGATTTTTAATGGATTTTGGATACCAGTATTTGGGGATTTAAAAGTACTATATTCCAATATATGAGACAACTTTATAAAATTTATTTGGACACACAAAATTAGAACCGTTTTTTATAACCTTTGTTATATGTTTTCTTTTAAACTACTCACTTGCACTTATCACCGATTGCTCAGCAGCTGGGTAGTTGTATTTGTGGCATTTCAAACACTGGTATTAACACCACGGAATATTGATTTTACATATTAAAGGAAGTCAAGTAAAGGAAGTCTGCTGTTTTTTTGTTTTGTTGTAATGCATGTTACTGTGTAACACTATGTAACATGCATTACATAGTAAAATAAATATTCCTGTGTCTTTATGTCTTGAGCATTTGAAAATGCTGTATTAATGTGAGTGGAGAACAACCTCATTACAGGCTAAATACCAGGAACTCTCCTTAAGTCGCATTAAAACTGGGCGAGGCTGCTGAATGAGAGTTCAAATGTCTCCATTATTCAAAAAAAGGTGATCAAGACTGTGCAACCCTCATAAAATAGTTAAAATGTGTTTTTCTCATCTCTTCTTTACTTTAAAAGCATTTTTAAACTTTGATAAATTGCAACGCCGATAAAATGGCAAATAGCTAACAATGGCAGGCAATATTGTCAGCCGGTATTATTTGCTGATTGGTTGAGGTCTAAAAAACCTCCTTAATTACTGGGCCTTGGTGCAGATCATATTACTTCCAGGCTGGACTACTGTAATTCATTATTATCAGGAAGTCCTAAAAACTCCCTGAAAAGCCTTCAGCTAATCCAAAATGCTGCAGCAAGAGTCCTGACAGGGACTAGAGAGAGAGAGCAGATTTCTCCTGTTTTGGCTTCCCTTCATTGGTTTCCTGTTATATCCAGAATTCAATTCAAAATCCTGCTCCTCACATACAAGGTCTTAAATAATCAGGCCCCATCTTATCTTAATGACCTCATAGTACCATATCACCCCATTAGAGCACTTCGCTCTCGCTCTGCAGGCCTACTTGTTGTTCCTAGAGTATTTAAAAGTAGAATGGGAGGCAGAGCCTTCAGTTTTCAGGCCCCTCTTCTGTGGAACCTGTCATGGGTCTGTGACCCAGGGATCATGTGTTATTTTTGAGTTGAATGAATATTATGAGTTTAATTCGTCTTTCTTAATCATTTATGGTTGTGGTGCGATCTGCTCCTGGTTCCTCGTTTCCCTGTGTGTTGTCATGTCAGCTTTGCTGCCCCACCAGGCCTGCAGAGTCCCTGCCTTGGAGCCAGCCACACCTGTGATAATCACTCACCTGTTGCTGATCTGCCTAATCAAGGAGCTCTACTCAGCGCAGGATTATTAATCTAGAAATACAGTTAGTGCTCAGCTCGTATAATCGTGTTTTCAGTTACTCTCTTGTTGGAATGGTTAATGTGTTTTGTCTGTCGGTGGATGGGACGGCACTCATCGTGGCATCTCTTGTTTCCAGGGTGATTACGCAAACGTGTGGAGGGAGCAGCACACTGTTGAACACAGCACTGAGGAGGACGAAACAGTACCACGCATCACGGAGAGGAATCACAGCACGGGGAATTGGGAGAGCACACACTGTGGATTACTGGCACTGTTTTCTCTGTAAATAAACACACTTTCTCCATTCTAAAAGTCCAGCGTTTGGCTTCTCTCTCAGCCAACCTTGACAGAATTCGGGAGACAGACACTATCTCTACTTTTAAGATTAGGCTTAAAACTTTCCTTTTTGCTAAAGCATATAGTTAGGGCTGGACCAGCTGACCCTGAATCCTCCCTTAGTTATGCTGCAATAGTCATAGGCTGCTGGGGGATTCCCATGATGCACTGAGTTTTTCCCTTTCAGTCACCTTTCTCACTCACTATGTGTTAATAGACCTCTCTGCATTGAATCACACTTGTTATTAACCTCTGTCTCTCTTCCACAGCATGTCTTTTATCTTGTCTTCCTTCTCTCACCCCAACCGGTCGCAGCAGATGGCCCCGCCCCTTCCTGCGCCTGGTTCTGCTGGAGGTTTCTTCCTGTTAAAAGGGAGTTTTTTCTTCCCACTGTCACCAAAGTGCTTGCTCATAGGGGGTCATGTGATTGTTGGGTTTTCTCTGTATCTATTATTATAGGGTCTACTGTACAATATAAAACGCCTTGAGGCGACTGTTGTTGTGATTTTACGCTATATAAATAAAACTGAATTGAATTGGAGGTATCTCCTATCACTGATAGTATGCAAATCAAAAAATGGAGAAAGTATTAGTGTTTTAAACACACTAATTTCTGTTTTTTCAGCTCACATAAATTGGTTGTGAATACTGTTAGGTTTTGTATTGTTGATTGTCATTTATGCTTAGAAATATTTAACCATATATGCTTAGAGTTTTATAATTAGTTGTAGATTGGTAGAGGTTTGATCCTTGATAGTCTGCAAACTTTGTGTGCATTAGAGAGCACTCTGGGAGCACGAGAGAGGTCGTACCTTCTCTTATTGTTTTATGGTAGGATAAACGTAGCTATATCTGTTTTAGTCTAAGTGCCTTTTGTTTAGATGAATTGTTGGACTTCCAGACCAGCAGGTTTAGGGAAGTCTTTATGGGGTCACACTCTGACCCCCCCCCCCACACACACACACACACAGTATTCTTTGTTCACATGTATACCTATGTAAGATGTCATATGCATATTCATGTAACCACAATAAAAGGAGTGCTATGGGGAACCTGGCTGAGAGTCTGACGGAGGTCAAGTGGTGGAACGACACTTGGCTCCAGGCAGGCCTCCCTCATGCATGAGTAACAAGAAGAACTTTGCCTACTTGGTGTTCAGTGCTTTTGCTGTGTTTTTAAATTGTCTCGTTCCAGCGGTGGGCCTGTGCTAGACAGACCCAACATTAATTGGTCCTACGATGCCGGATCCCTAGAATTGACATTCAAAGAGACACGCCGAAAGACGTCAGCCAGGACGTATAGAAGTTCCTGTAGTAAAGTAAACGGCCGTGCGGGTTCACGCAGGCTGGGGGAAGTTATAGGCCTATTTGTGTTGTTTGTGTACGTCTGTGTCAGTTGTTAAAAGTAATCTGCATTAAGCTTAGGGTTGCTCAAATTCAGTACAATGACATATGAGGTGAAGTGATATAGGTAAATATTTTAACTAATGATGTGCATAGAGGCACTTGACCTGTTTGAAAGACTGTCGTCTTATTATGAGCCGTTGTTGAGATATAGAGCACACCTGCGAAAACAACTAATATGCTGAACCCTGTATGAAGCGGCTGAAAACTACTTGATGGAGAAGCTGAATTTAATATGAAAGTGCAGGTCTCACTGTGGGCAAAGCACGCAGCCACTGTGTGAGGTTGCGTTGTGGTCTCTTCTGAGCTGATTAGCAAGCTACACATTATCAGATCGAGAGCTGGCTGAGAACTCATCAAAGAGAGGGAAACAGAACTATGATAACTGTGATAACTGGAGTGTACAGCGTTTCCGTGAGCAGTTTTTCTGCATCTTGACTCGAGTGTGTAGAGTGTTCATAACATCAGCAGTGTTCAATGCTTTTGCTGTGTTTTTAAATTGTCTTGTTCCAGCAGTGGGCCTGTGCTAGACAGACCCAACAAATACACTTGCTCAGGTTTTCAGTATTTTAAACTTTGACCTTTTTAATATGAACACCTATCACAGGAAACATAAGTATTGGCTCCTTTTACATATGTAACTATAGTTGATAAATTAAACTCAGAGTTTCAACTGTGAGTTAGTTTTGAGGTGAGGGCTTCGATTTAAAATCTTCTTGGCATAATGTCATGTAGTTTCCCGCCACCAAAGCATTTTTATGGGAAATGACTCAGAGTACAGCTGAGCTAAATTATGAGAATAATACCAACAATCCCGTTTCTTCTGCTCAGATTACCATCTAAATGTTAAGACTGTCTCCAGGGCATGCAACACTATTGTCTGTGTCTCAGGAGAAGGTTCTGGATGGACAGTCAGTACTGAGGCTGACTCCAGTTACATCAATATGGGCACGCCTAGTGTAAATCATATTAATCTTCTTTAAGGGGGAGTCCTGCTTTAGCAAATGACAAATAAGAAGTCCGTTGCCACGAACACTCTCAGTCTTGCTAAAACTTTATGTCCTCTGATTTTTTTAATTGGTCTGCTCTTCCGTACTCTACACTTTCTGTGAGTAAAAAGGTTTATTTAAAAAAAAAATACCAGTCTCATGTCAAGCTGTACTTGATTAGCTTAGCACAGCACAAAGACTCTAAACATGGAAACAGATATTCCCTACACAGCCCAAAGTAAAAGAGACAGGCTTGTGAACATATTATATCTTCTTTGTTTAGCTGCAAAAAGAAAAAGGGAAAAAGACCAAAATAAGTGGCAGCCTTCTAAGAAATAGTGCAACATATAAGCCTCTGTGAAAGCCAGAGGTGGAAAAAATGCATACAGAAAGTAAAGATATTTAAGCTGAAGTGTTGGAAGTAAAAGTAAAATTACCTAAAGATAAATACTCAAGGAAAGCACATAGTTAAGTACAGTAATGTAGAATTTGTACTTCCCACCTCTATAAAAAACCACATTGTATTTTTTAAACTTTATTTGCTCCCAGATTGTAAAAATGATGCAAAATATATTTATGAATTTAATTCATTCAAAAGCAGGTTTTGTAAAAGGTTATAGAGCGACCCTTCTCACCCCTCCTGGTATTTAACAACTACCTGTAACTTTAGCTGGTTTGTATTACTAATGTGCCGATTAGAGGGGATTACAGTCCACAGGGGGAAAAAACATTTTCTGAGCAGCATTTCTTTATTGTGTAGAAGAAAAAGTCTTGAAATTGCACTTTTGTTTTATATTAAAGGGGATTAAATGCATTTTGCTGGATGTGGACCTCGATGCAAAATGACTTTGACAGCAGGTCACAGTTAACGTGCACTTGTATTTGCCAATGTCACAAACTGATCCATGTAACGAGGCACTATCAGTCCAGTGAAGCTTTCGTGCTTTATTTATATTCAAGCTGACATTATTTTTCAATAAAAAAACGCAATAACGATTATTTTACGTTACCTTTACACGTGAGGCTGGGTGACTCTAAGTCACGACAGTGCCTTGCCCCCAAAAAAAGAATGAAATAAGAGCAGAATAAAGTAGTGGAGCTCCTTCCTCACCTCATATTTCTGAGTCCGCTGGTCCTGTTTAAGTCTGAAATGGGGTAGAGAGTGTGGGCTTGCCACCTCCGGATCCTTCTCTTTCTCTGCTCTTTCCTCACAAGGTAAACTTTATTTCTCGAGCAGCTTCTGTCGCTTTCTTCTCCTCCAACTCTACCTGGATTTCTCCACCCCTCTGGGTACAATAGCCCATCGCATCATACTGTCCACTGCCTTGACATCTTAAACCTCTGGGAAGGGGAACACCCATGTTGCCCTGATATATCAGTTCATACACAATAAGTGGAACAGACCCAGAGGCCCTGGATTGTCCTCTCTATTGCAGACAAAAGATGGCAAAATTATTTCTATTCACCTGTTCAGCACAGGGGAAAGAGATCTGAAGCCTTCTAGTGACATCTTAGAGGTTTGATTGTGTTGCTAGTCCCCGAATCAGAGTTTGCAAGCCTGGATTTTTTGCTGTTACGCTCTTCTTCATCTACATCTTCTTTTCTGGACCTTTTCGTGGATCCACCAGGCAGCGGTTCTTCTTCTGTTACCTGCTGATTGATGTCCTCATCAGCAATATTACCAACGTGAGGACAGCCCTCGCTATCAGTGTCACAAGCAGAGGTGAATTCAGAGTCATCATCAGAAAACTCCTCGCTCCATCTGATTCTTTTGTTTGGTTCCACATCTTCTTCATCCATCTCTCTAGACCTCCTCCTGGATACAGCCGGCTGAGGATCCTCTTCTGCGATGTACTGGTGAACATCCACACAGTCTTCAAATGCCTCATCAGAATCATCACTTTCAATGCCAACAACAACAACAGCATTATGATCATCATGCAGTTCATTGTGGTCAACATTGGCATTATTGTCTCTCACAATAATATTGAGAATGTTTACATTGTTCTCAATGATATTGTCAAAGTCAGTGTCAAAGTCCTCATCATATCGTGCCTCCATTTAATCTAATAGCTCATTCAGCCTCCAAAAAATGATATCATAGAGAGCAAGATAAAGATTGTTCAGTAAGTCCCAGAGTCCACCAATAGGCTCATAAGCTGGTTCATAAGCTGGTTCCTGATCTCCACTTGGAAACATTTCTGGGTTAACCTGTCGGCCTGCAAGACCATTTTATCTTTTAATTAGCATTCATAAATATCTGCTGAAAATATCTGCTGTCTCAGTGACATCATCAACTCTGCAGGTGATAAACCAGTAGTGGCATGCGGTGTGATGCGATAACTGAACAGAAATTGGGACAGTCTGGTTTGCAAGGTATCACCTTTTACTTTCTTCATCCCCTCCTGGGACTGGACCGCCCTCTCAGCCAACCCACTGGAAGAAGGATGGAAAGGTGCTGACCTCACATGGTCAATGCCATTCTGCTTCATGAATGACTCAAACTCAGCACTTGTGAAACATGTTCCATTGTCTGAAACTAACATTTTAGGTGGTCCAAACACACCGAAACTCTGTCGCAGTTTCTCTATAGTCACCTGTGATGTAGAGGATTTCACAGGGTAAATGTCCATCCACTTGGAAGGAGCATCCACTATGATTAGAAATATCTCCCCGAGGAAAGGCCCTGCATAGTCCACATGGATCCTGGACTATGGTGACTCCGGCCATTCGCAAGGGTGTAATGGTGCCGTAGGTGGAGACTTGTGGTGTTTCTGACACTCCTCACATGCCTGCACTTCCATTTCAACGTTCTCATCCATCCCAGGCCACCATACATAAGACCTTGCCAAGCCTTTCATCTTCGACATGCCTGTATGAGTCTGGTGCAGGAGTTTCAATATTTTGTCTCTGTCTTTGGTGGGAATAATTAGTCGGGCTCAGCAGAGCACGCAATCATCCCTCACACTCAGTTCCAGCTTTCTCTGTCGATATGGCTTGAAACAGGCCCCGGTCTGAACAAGCCAGCCTTTTAAGGTGTACTCACGAACTTGCAACAACAAGACATCCTTAGCTGTCCAACTTTTGATCTGTGCAATGTCAACTAATGTGTCATCCAGTAGATTCATCATCAAAACCTGCTCAGCCATCTCTTCAGGCGCTGAGTCTGGTAC